GCTCGGCCGCGGGGAGGGCTGCTGCAGCTGGATGTGCCTTCCCGGGGCAGAGGACTGCGACCCCGGTGTGCTCTCCCCCCAACCCTCTGAGCTCCGTTCGTAACCCCGGAGGACTCGGGTCGCCCCGGGATGCCGGCTCCCCGCACTGAGCCCGCCTGTGCCGGGGCGCCTGCTCCCTCCGTGCTCTCCCTCCTCTCACCGCTCCCTTATCCTTTTCTTGACGTTCCCGGTCCCGTCCAGCACCCTCCCTCGTCCAGACCGACGCCCCGGTAGGCAGCCTGGCTCTGCAGAGCCGTGTGTGTGAGCCCCCCGGAGAGCGGGGACAATCGGTGCACCCCAGCTCCCTAGGAGGGAGTGGGGATACTGGGGAGAGCGTGCACCTACAAGTAACCCGGTTGCTTGTTTTTCCTTTTGGCATCTAGCTACTAAAGCAGAGCAAACAAATAAAACCTGCTGAATTTACGTCTAGGAGCTGAGGCTTAACAACAGATTATCAGATGTGGTCCCGTGTGTTTGTGTGCTTCTGCAGTAGGCTGGCATGTTTCTGATGCATCATCATCTGCGATAGTAGAGCTCTGCTCTCCTCTGTAGTTTGCCCAAAACCAGTACGGACAAGATGATCGTGAACTTTTGATAGCTGTAAGGTTGTTATGGAGCTTACCAGTATGTGTGTCCTGTTGTAAGGTGCTTATTTCATGCTGACAGTGGCCTAAATTAACTTTACCGAAAAGTCCCTGTGCAACAGAGAAGGATTTGTCTTGTGTTATAGTGAGAATTACACTGCTGAGGTGTGCCTGGTGTGTAATCGGGGTGTGCTTGAATGCTTATGAATAGTTGTGTGGCTCTCTGAAGGTGGCGTCCTCAGGAGCGTTGTGTTTAGTGGCTGTGTCTGTGGGACTTCTTCAGGAATCACTGGAGTAGAATTTACAAGGGTGTTTTATCAGGTATCTGTAAAGGGATACTGCTGATAGAGAAACATAAATTGAGTTACTGTAAAGTAAAAACTGCAAAGATGCAGTTTACCCAAGTTCAAAGTCTGAGGTAGAAGCATATAGATAAATATATATACATTCTGAAGCTGTCTTGTTTACCTAACTTATTTGACTAGAGAGAAAGCAATCTGGTTGCTTGCAAGTGTTCAGAAAACAGAAATTATTTGCAAAAGGATCAGGTTTCGTTAGCGTGTATCAAACCAGTCAATCCCTTACAACCTGGACCATGTTTCCGTGGAAATGACATTAAGTCAGAGCTGCTACTTGTGTAGGGGTGTCTCTGCAGATTAAATAATTAAAAAAACAACCCTCCTACAGCTGCATGATTCCTAAATCTCTCACCAAATTTGTTGGTGGAATATTTAATTTTAAAATATGAACAGGCTTGTGTTATCCTTGTCTCTTGTAAGCTCTGAGTTGTAGAATGTTTGAAGAGTGTTCTACAACATATACAGAGGCAGATCCTGAAAGAAAAGAGTATTTGTCAGGAGTGGGAATTTGAGCTGTGTACTTTTGCCTTAATACAGGGGAAAACACTTAGTGTAAGTTACCTAGATGAGAGAACTAGCATGAGAAACTGGGGACATACTCATAAATGAGTTCTAAAATTACATCTTTTTCACTAATTTTTCTTCTTTTAGAATTACTAACAGGGTTGACTGTTTTCTGGATGTGGTAGTATCTCATCTTAAGACAAGTGCTGTCCAGAGAATGTCTGGGCCACCAGGCAGGGAGTTTCCTTTCTCTGAACCACAGCATTGTTGTAGGACTCCTGTTAGGGTCCTGCTCCTCAGAAGAAAAAGGCAATACATCTTTTGATCCTCTGCCTCTCACCTTATCTTGTGTCTTTCCCCTTCTCCCTTCTTTCAAATAGTGAACTTGCAGCAAAGGAACTTCCCGCTCAGGTATTAGGTGCACAGTGGCGTTCATGCCCAAAGGGCATGCAGCTGTCACCCAGGAGAGGCTTTGGAGGCTGTTGTGTCCCCTCAAGACATGTTGATGGTAGGTCTCTTGAAACTTGGGAAGCAGTGCTGAACCTGCTGTCCAATATCCTTATAGCAGCAAAGGAAGCTATCTTTCTTTTCAGAAAGATAAGGTTGTTCACAGCTGGGGTCTTTGAGAGGCCATCTCTTTCCACAAGGTACTGTTACTTTTTCTGAAGCCCTTCTCAGGCTTTGTGGACACAAACTGAACCACTCTCTTCATCAGCTCTCAGAGGAGATCCAGTGAAGCAATGCATGTGGGACAGGTGCGGGTATTTCAGCCATCATCACTGGTGAGTGCAGGGTTGAATGCATCTGTGCCAGTTACACTGGGAACAGGTTTTGCTGCCTTCTCTAGCAGCCAGCTAGGGATACTTCTCCCTATGAACTTGAGGTGTAGGAAACTAACCTGGAAGGAAGAGGATACTTCATCAATTGCCACAGCTTGCTTTGAAACTTACCCATTTCCTTATCTGTCACCATAAATGGGAAAAATAACCTAAACAAACAAACAAAAAACAAGGGTAGTTGCTGTCCACTTGTAGGGAGAGGCAAACAGCCACAAGATGCCAAAGACTGTCAGAAAGATAAGCTCTATTTTAAGTGGTAGAATAGCTCAATCACATTTGATAGTGCTTTCCTCCAAGCAGTTATGTAGTTGCCTTTAGCTTGTGTGTACACAGAAAATAGGAGAGAGGATGAAAGCTCTAGAGGTGCCTGGACTCTAGGACAGAACATAGATGAGAGGTGTTGGAACAGCTTCATATGTGATGTTTGAAGTGGAAAAACAGCCAACATTTGAGTCAGCTGGAGTTCCCCTGCCACATGCTTTTGCACTTTTCTGTTGGAATGTGGTGTCCCAACAGGACAAGTCTCCCCAAGAGCTGTGGGCTCAGCTAAGACATGCTCTCCAGGGTCTCTGCATGCTGCTCGTTGTAGTCCTTGCAGCTGTGGCAGACAGTGGATCAAGCCACACATGCATTGTACAGCAAGGAGCCTGGTGGCTTAGTGGCAGTGCTGGTGTCAGAATGGAGCTTGAGAACTGGCTGCTCTGCAGCTTAAAAGCTGCAAATGCAAAGAGTAGTGAACTTGACCCAGAGGGGAGAGTTTATACAAATGGATTCTATCAGAAAGACGGAATTCCTTTTTTTTTTTTTCTTTCCCCATCTTTGGCCACACAGGGCTCCCTTGCACAGCCTCACTTTAGATTGCACATGGTTTCATTTACAAAAAGTTTTCCTTGTGAAAAAAAGGTGGAAGGAAGACTAACTTTTCCCATGCATTAGAGGACCTCCAGCCCTGTAGTTGTCCCTGGTCCCTGTTTTTTCTCTTAGCTGATCACTTGTCTGTTCTTGACATTAGCTGGAGAGTGCTGTGTGAGCCAGACATTTGTCTTTACCTCTCACTAAATGTTTCTGTATATCCAGTTACAGCCCTGTTAATTTACTGCCCTGGGAGCACTTTGGAATTTCTTGCCTTCCTACAACATTTGCTAGGAGATGACAGAGGGAGATACCTGACACACAGATCATCTCTGGGTGACGTTGTGGAAGAGGCTTTGGTAGTATTAAGAAGAGTCATCTCTGCATTTTTTTTTGACTGGGGTTCTTTGAGCCTCCTGATTTTGGAGTTAACTAAAACGTCTTACGCTTTTTTTAATTGCAGGTCTGTTTTGCACCCATGAAAGTCAAATAAACATTTGTCCTGAGTTTTAGCTGATACAGGATAGTGCACAGACTTTCTTCCTAACACAGGTATCTCCCATCACTGAGCTTCTCATTAGATCAAAAGATGATGCACTGTGTGACACAAACTATGAACTTGAATTCCAGTCTTCAGAGTCAAACCCCCCACCCCAAAAATGAAGTGAGTGTCCCATAGCTGACCTGCTGTTTAGACAACAGTCTGTATTAGGTTTTTTAGAGGCAGAAGTACTTCAGTAGATATTTCAAGGCTGTAGCAGGAGAAAGCCTGAAGAGAGGAACAGCTAAGGACTGCAGAGGTTAATTGAAAAACGTGCCCTCACAAGCATGTTGGGATTTGTAAGGCGTAGTTTTCACCCCACTCCTCTTCTGTGATCAGAACTGGAGCAATGATGCGTATTTTGGAATATTCTGTACATGCTGTGCATTTTCTTCTAAAAGCCATGATGTATTTGCAGTTTTACAGTGGCAATACCAATGACAAAATATTACCATTATCATGCCCTACTGTTCTTTGAATTATTAATTTGTTCCAATTGCCAAAACTTAAGCTCTCACAATATTCAAATCCACATGGAGGTATATAACCAATGGACTTAATTTTGTTCAAGATCCATCCCACTTATTTGCTTTGAAAACTTTGAGCAGATGTTTTGAATAATGCCGCAGGGAGACTCCTTAAAATACATCATAGCAGGAAAAATATGTTTAGTCTAATTTTATAAAGCTTCCCTTCCCTGCCCCCATAATTTGAAATCCTGTTTAAATAAGTGCTTGACCTGAAAATCAGTGTGGCAATTTGTGAGTACAGTTCAGGCTGCTGATTGGGTGGATGGTGGTGGTGGATAGTGCAGTTTTTAATTACCATTTGAACCAAGATACCCGTAAGGAACGGGACCTGGTTGGGTCTATAATCCTTCATTTCTCCTCCCAGCATTTGCCACGAGTGACTTTTCTCATAACGGGGACTGGGAGAAGGCTCAACCCGTGGGCTTTGGTTGGCAAGTGCCTATCAAGGGCTGGGCTGCCTGGGTTGGACTGGGCTGGAGAGGAGGGCCACAAGAAGCAGTGGCACCAGCTGTGAGTACCCCCTTCCCCTGAGGAGGACTTGATTTGAAAACTGGGGTGAAACCACACAGTAAATTTGCCTAAGAGGAAGCAGCTTAAGTAGTCAAAACCATGCTCTGCTAAATCAATGAATTTTGATTCTTTTTCCCCTTTGTTTCACTAAGCAAATTGATAAAACCAGACTTTTACTCTGTGATTGCACTTGGATATTTCTGGCATGTTTGAATTACAAACCCCAGATAGAAACATTAAGATTTTTCACTAAATACTCTCTATATGTGTGTGTGTATGTACATATGTATATATAAAGATTTAAAACATGTCATAATGTCTTGTAAATTTTAGCATTACTAATACTTGTTTTATGCATATATTATCTTCTGAACTGAAGGTAACCTGGGGGTGAACACTCAGTGGAAGGAACTTATCTATTATTGCTGTTTGACCCATAAATTCTTGTATAATGTGGTAGGATTTTCTTCCCATGACTTTTTTACTGTGCAAACCTGACGAATTAACTGGCAAAGTTACATCACATGAAGTTACAAGTGCATAGTTGCAACTCTGTTACTTCCAAATACTCTTTATTTCAGATACTCAAGTGTTCTGTGGCATGGTTCAGCGAACACTTTTAGTCAATCTAGGATTTAATATTATGAAAAATCAGTAAAGTTACATATGTTAATGAGCAAGAGGGTTGAGCTGGGGCTTGTGTGAGAGTTATTAACACCAGAACTATATTTCTGATATTTTGTAGATATTTATTTAGAACTAAATAGATACAGGTTACTGTGGTTGTTACATCCAAAATTAACAGAAAATATATTTCTCATTTATTGAAAGATTCAGTCTCTGATAAGAGTGTGATTAGATGCTAATCTGCCTAATAGTACAATTGATTCAAAACCAGCGGTGTGTTTATAACCATGGTAAAAATGTATTCTTTACCAAACATCCAACACTTCTCATTGAAAGCAAATTTTGAGCACATAATCTATATCAGCCTTATGTGCATGGCAGTTGGTGAGCCTATAATAACCTATCAGTATGGCACTCTTTTATCTGAGCATGAAGTTTTAAGTCAAACTGTGATGGGATAATTTTACATTGTGAAGAGCATGTCTTGTTTGTAACATGACAAAATTTTATAATACAGGAACAAAAGTGTGACACAACATTTTCACTAAGGTAAAATGATGTGATATAGTGACAAGAGCAATGGCACGTCAAAAGTATCTAATGATGTCTACAAGCATTAACTTGTCATTTATTTTGTAGTTTCTGTACAGTAACATTTTTTTTTCCCCCTTGCCAGGAAGAAATTTACTACATAGCAGCACTCATATTTGAAGACTGCTGCAAGAAAATTTAAACCAGATGCAGTTCTTTTACACTGGCTTTTATTAATAAACTATATGTACTACATATGAAGGCATACATAATCCTTGATCTTTGTGTAAAATGCCTTCTCAGCATCAGTGGAAAGTTACTGTGCAGTGTGATGACTTTGATCCAGGACTTCCTGAAGCCAGTGGTGTCCTCCCACTGACTTTGGATGTTGACTCAAGATTCCAGTTCCTTGGAGTTCTGAAATTTGCAGGTGTTTTCTCACATTTTCTTTCTTTCTTTTCCTTTTAGGAAAACTCTTCTTTTTATTACAATATGTATAGCTGTGGGTGTTGCACAAGTACCCAAACAAGGTAAGAATGCTTTTTTTGTAACTGGGTATTTGTATAATCTGTTACTAGGTGAAAAGAGTAAATGGCTGTTGTTACTAGTGACCTTAGGTTCTGTTCCTTAATGGCAACTTCACGAAAATACCAGCTGCAGCATGATGACAGAAAAGGTTTAAAGAAACCAGTCTGGGAAAGATGACCTTTTGAAAATTACTCAGATTTTCTGTCTATGAAATTGCTTACATATTTAAGCAAGCTCTTCATAAAAGAGAAGCCTTGTGCAGTGAAAAAGCTTTGATTGTGTCTTCACTGCAAGTGGGTGTCCTTGGGGGTGGCAAGCTATGACTGAGTTACCTTTGCACTTAGGGCTGTGCAGGCAAACCACTGCATATAATGAAGGCTTAGTCCAGGCTGGCATCATTCAAGCAAATAGTGAAATTGTGTATTCATTTGGTTTTGCATTTAAAGGCAGATGTTAGTGAGGAAATAGGGTTGTCTTGGTTTTAGTTTCTGATTTTAGTCTGCCAGCTGTTATAACTGCACCACATGTGCAGCTTGCACTAGAGATTGCTGTGGGAATACTAGTGTCCTAAAGTGGTGGAAGCTAAGGTGCCATTTAGTCATTTCTTATGTGCCAGGAGAGTGGCAGCATCAGTTCTCTGCCATGTTCCTTCACCATACAGATCAAGCAAGAAATAGGTCATTCTTGGCTGGTGTGTTAACTGCAAATACTCAGCTGAATAGAAACAGATGGATTGTGTGGTGAAAACAAGGTTCATTCCTGATAACATTTTGTTAGAGCCTAGTGGGATATCTCAGCAGCCTCCCACCATTATTCTCATGGATGCATTTTTCGTTCTCATCATTCCCTGTGACAGGCAAAGCCTGTTTTTTCTTCAATTGCAGTGGTGGTTGTTTCCTCCCTGCTCTCTTTATAGTTTTGCCTTCCCTGAGTTGCTCATTGTTTGCCTGCTAAACTTGGTTATACATTTTTCACATTCAGCTCAGTGGAGGACATATGCTTTTGTGGTGATGGGATTGCCCCAGATTTTTCTAATGCCAGAGTTCTTTTCAGGCGAGGAGCAGCAGCACCCATAGGTGTGTGTGGCCTGCCCTGCTCCAGGTGTGCAGGGATGGAGAGGGAAGAGGGAGGCAATTTGGACTTGGGTGGTGCAGCAGAAGCAGGTGAGGGATGCCAGACAGATGTGCAGTGAGGGTTTGAGTTGCCTTCATCCTCCCAACCCACACTCTTCCTCTGCAAAGAAATAAACAATTTCTCTCGCTCGTCATGTGTCTCAGCCTGAGAATTCCTCTTCTAACAAAACCTCGGGCAAGGACTGTGAAGTCTACAGGGCAGCAGTGACATGGAGGAATGAGTGCAGGCTTATTTGCCTCTTGACTGAGAGTACCTCTGTGCACAGAGCTTTGCAGAAATGGGGTAAAGCCTCCAGTCTTGACATGCTTATATTTGATTAATTTTTCACCCACAGATGAAGGAGCATTCCTACTCTGTTTGTTGCTGTTATTTCTGTTTTCTCTATTACTTAACAGCATTTCTAGATAGCCATAGGAGAAGCCTTACTGAATGGAAGCTCCTCTCCAACCCCTGTGCACAGATGCTATACGTGACTTCATTTTCCTGAAGTGCTTGCTTGGGATCAAAATGATGCATTGAACCTTGATTCAAATTTCTGCCTGTGGATGAATTTGGTCCCTCATGCACTTTATTTTAAAATAAAGTGTGTAAACAAAGTTGCAAAAAGCAGTTCAGAGAACAGCAGACTGATGAAACCTCCTCCTCCTCCTCCTCCAAAAAAAAAAAAAATTAAAAAGCAGTTTGAGGGTATTCTTCAGTCTCAGTATGCAACCTGCAGAGCTAGCACTATTGATTTGTAGTGCTTAGAGATTATCCAGGAACAGGAATGTCTGCCCATTGGGAATATGTTAACACTTAAGTTGTTAATAAAACTTTCTTGGAAACTGAATCTATAACTTGTGTTCAGTGAAATAAATGTAAAGATACAGCCTCAGCATTTAGGAATAGTATGTGTGTGAGTCCTCTGAGTATGGCTCAGAGTTGGGTTTCGTCTGCCACTCACTTGGCCTGGTGTCCGGGAGAGCATTGGTGTATCTTAATTTACCCTATTGCAGATGCAGTGTCACTTGGGAAATGAGCAGTCTTATGAGTAAGTACTCCCAGTTCTGGTGGAGCTGACTGATGAATAACCCTTGTCTTTCCTTTACCCATACTGTTGAGGTGATTAATGTGTATACTAGGATTGCTGAAACGGAGAGAGCACCCCAAATATCCTGCCTTCAGAGTAGTCATGAGTATGGAGGAATGTGGAAAATGAACAAGAGAGACTGAATAGAAGAGGGGTGTGGACATCCCTCCCCAATTCCTGTTTGGATATTTTTTTTTTTTTTTTTTGCCAAAGCCCATATTAGGTTTTCCCTCCCCTTATGATGCAGTAAGGTTGTGAATTCTTCAGATCCTCTCAGAATGTGTGAGGAAAGCACTTGACACCAAAACCCAAAAAAACCTTTTTCCTTCAAGAAGAGGAGCTGTTACAATTTGGGGGACTAATGGGTTGAGTAAACAGTAAGTGAAGACAGATGTTGCGCAGACATGGGTAAATAAAGAAAACTGGCTACTGATAGGTAAAGAAAATAGTAGTTGTCATGCTGGGAGGAAGAGTTGAGAGGGTTGCCTGCTCCCAAAACCCTGTGTACTGCCAAGAGCTTCTGAAAGCCTTAAAATAAAATAAAAATGCATGTTGGATCAGAAATGAAATGACTGGCCAAAAAAGTTTGGAACAGCCTTTTGGCTTGATGTAATGTTAACAGGCAGTAAGTCAGCAAGGAATAATTAGTTGATGGTTAATCTTTTGCTATCATTTTTCACACAGGATTTACTTGTTTGGCTTTCTCAGGACCTGCCATTATTTGCAGAAATCTGTTTGCAGGATGTGGAGAGCGTGTCTTATTTCTTATCATGCTTTCAGATGATTTCCCTTTTTTAATAGCTTTTAACCTATGTGCTGTTTTCAAATCGGAATTGCCAAAATCTTGGCAATTTTGTTTGCAGTTTGAGATTTAGTAGCAATACTCTTGAAGGTCATTTTTAATTGACTCTTTAAAGCCAATTTAAGCTTTTTGTTTCATATTCCATTTTTGGTGAGATTATATACATTGTTATTTTGATTTTTTTAATTGTTATTTTAAAATACAAATACATAGTTGCAAATATTTTAAAATACAAGTACTTGCCAAGTGTTTCAGGTTGGGGTGTGGCATCTGGGCACAACCTTAGACGAGATTAGCTATTCTCCTCTGTGCAGCCAGGTTGCCCAGCCAGCACACAGGAGTGCTGGAGTAATGTCTTGGGGTATTATTTGCATGTGTAAGACCTCTGCATTGCCCAAAGCTCAGGACCTGTTTCTTCCTGGCTTTCACAAGGACAGTACAAATGCAGCTTTCTCCTTTGTAGCTACACGCACACTATGCAGGACTGGGGTCCTGAGAAAAAATGGTGATTCATTAGCAGATGGATTGTGCTTCGAAGCCCTGCTATAACCTGACCTCTGCTATCACTTTGACAGATAAAAATACGGCCATAGTAAATTAATTGCTCTGAGGCAAAACATCTTGAGAAATTGGCATACACACGACTTTCTGCAAAGATATGCTTTCTCCATACCTCTGTCTGTGCTGGCTACCCGCCAGGATAATCTTGGTGTGTCCATGAATCTCAAACACGACTAGAAACACTACAAGATGTGTAATTAATTTTCAAGGTGTACAGTGCATTCAGGTTGATGCTTTTGGTTCCAATTTGTAAGCCACGCTCAAGGAAATCTCAGGCTCTTTTCATAATTTACCACTGAAACTAAGCCAACATCTGTCTGTTCTTAAAATTTGCTATAAATATGTTCAGTAAACAGAGGAAGGGAAGACTGGGAAAGGAGACCTTTTTTCCCACTAAAAGAGTGAACATCCATTTGTTTCAGTTGCTCTTTTCTCAGTATAGCAGAGAATCCTTAACTCTTGATTACTCCAAAATTTTGTTATGCCATTTAATAGCTTTACTTACTTAATCTAAAGCACAACATGCATAGTGAAAGTGCCCTCAGCTAAATACTATGGAAAGTTCCAGTCTCTTCCTAGCAAGTCGTATTAGATGAGGGCAACTGTTAGATACTTCTAGTAATTATTAATATAGGCAGTTCACTGAAGTTTTGATCCAACCAATCGTTCCAGTTAAGGGGTAAAAAAAAAAAGATTATATCGTGTGCTTCTGTGCGATGCTGTTCATGAAAACTACAATGTTCAATTTTCCCGTGTGCAGAAGGTCATAAAATTTAGGTTAGGGTGACCTTGAACTTACCTGGTCCTACCTCCTGCTGAAATCAGGGTCAGGGTTGAAGTTAGTTCAGACTGTCCAGCTGAGCTTTGAAAATCTTCAAGAATGGAGATGACACAATGTCTCTGGCCCCCTCGTCCAGCACTTAAACACTTCTGCAGTGAGAGTGCTTTTTCTTTGTGTGGAGCTGGAATTCCTTGTGTTGCAGCATGTGCTCGATGCTCCTCAGCTTTTCTCTGTTCTCCCTGTAGCCCTAGTTTTGATAACAGACAATTGTAATTACATCACCCCAAAGTAATCTCCAGGCCATGCAAATGTAGCTCCTTCAGCCTTTTCTCATGTCATGTGTTTTAGCCCCCAACCTTCTCATCTTATTTCTGTGACTGCATTTTCTCTCAGTATCTGCAGCATCTCTGTAGGACCTTTCGCAAACACTCAGATGAGCAGTTTTACCAGGTAAATCAGTGCCCTTAGTGCTGTCTACATGACAGCACTTATGACCCTACAGAAGACTGCTGGAGATATGTGGTTTAGCTGCTGTTCAAGCCTTAGAGGTGTTTCTGCTCTAGCTGCATCATAAGTGTCTTTTTATTAATCCTGAAGGAAGAGGTGTTTAAGCCCATTGGCTCCAACATGCCTAAATCAGATTTGTATTTGTCATCCTTGACTGTTGATTCCTCCTTTAGGAGGAAACTGGCTTTGATTTCTTACCCCAGGTCAGATATGATTTCAGTTTATAAGGAGGCTAGACAATTGTGTTTCTGCCCACATAGGTAAAGGTATTTAACCAAGTAACAGACGGAGATACTGCAAGGCCCTGGCTAAGGAAAGGGCTAAAGCACAAAGCTTATATTATGTAAGAGACTAAAGAATCCAACATTGAAAACACCAGTGCCCATTCCCCTGTGTAGGAAGATCTACTATCAAGACTTCTATATGCCAAAGGCAAATCGATGGGACATAAATCAGTAGGACAGCTGGTTTCTCTGTATCCTTAGTGTCTCCTGCTCTGGAGTGCACTCAATTCACTGTCTCGTCTGGGTAGCTGCAGCCTTGTGTTCTCTGGGAGGACAGATGGGCCAGAAGATCTGAGCATTGCCCCTTTGGTCCTGACATTTTTCCTTTGTTCTTGTTCCTTTCTATTTTTGCTTCTGTAGAGTTCATTTCACCACCCAAACAAGTAAATGGTGTGGACAGAAAGGAGACAGTTACATGTTCTGTGGCACCTTCTCTTGGAAAGATCTTTGGTTTCTTTTAGTTTAACTAACTTTGGCATAGGTGCATACAACCAAGGGTCATCCCACTGAGGAACGTGATTCCCTTTGAAGCTAGCTCCATCATGGCACAGGGCCCTGCTTGGCAGGAGGAGAGCTCCCTTGTGGAAACACAACCATTCTTCCCAGGTACCAGCAGGATTACCTCTACTGCATATAGTTGGTTGTTGGCTTTGAGTTAGTGACTGTCTTTTGGTGCTCTACTGAGATGTTACTGTTATAAATAGCTTGTCCCTTCCTAAAAACAAAGCAATCATCCCCTCAAATGCTTTCATTTAACCTTTCCAGATAAAGAGAAAAAACATCATTTTGTTGCAGGATGTTTTTGCAGAAGTTAAAAAAAACAATTATCTACTCAAAGAGTAGGCAGGATTAGCCAAATAAATAAGGAACTAATAAAATGTGTTCATTGACTGGTGTGAAAAGATTGAAGATGGCAAATGTTTTTGTTAACAGTTTCATAAATGAATTAACCTGCAATAGGGATTATGTGGGCCTTTCTGTATGTTTTGTTTTGGTTTTGGTTTTTTAAAGATGGAAATTTTGTTCTGGCTTGAATTAGTCATTTGATTTATGTGAAAGATTGATGTGCCTTATGCTAGGAATTTGGTGGCCTTGCTGCATGCAATATATGTTCTCTGGAAACTAGAGATTTCTTAAGATGTTTTATGTACTTTTGTTTATATGGATATGAATTTAAGAGCTTGTAAAGGAAATAAACAGTATGCCTTTATTTCTTTTTGCAGCAATAGATGTTCTTCATCAACTTGGCCTTGTGAAAGATGTTCAACAGCCCTTGGAGACAACCTTGCCCTCAACATCACCTCTGTTACCTCAGGGTGTTCGTCTAACCGTATCAGGAGTTGTCCTAACTGGTGATGCACATATTGAGTCCCCAGTCATTCAAGTCATACCATCAAATCTAGGGCATCAGTTCACCGTATTGGTTGGGTTGTACTCTTACAGAGTAAATAATGCTTTCCTTTTCAGTATTAGGAACAAAAGTAGACTGCAATTTGGTGTCCAGCTGCTGCCACGAAAGGTAGCGGTGTACACTGGAGCAAAGCAGTACATATACTTTGATTATGGTGTTCATAATAAACAATGGCATTCATTTGCCATTGACATTAGAGGCAAGACTGTCTCAATATTTACTGAATGTGGAAAGAAGCACTATAGCGGGGAAGTACTTTCTAAAGTGGAGACATTTGATTTGGATGGTTTATTTACCCTGGGAAGGATGAACTCTCACTCTGTTGGCTTTGAAGGAGTTATATGTCAGCTAGATATTATTCCTTCTGCAGAAGCCTCTGCAAACTATTGTAAATATGTGAAACAGCAGTGTCGCCAGGCTGAAACATATCGATCTCTGCTAGGAGTGCCACGTGTGTCAGATGGGCTTCATTTGTTTTCAAAGATGATGATTGATGAGGAAAAAAAGTCAGAAGATGTATCAGCTTATAGGAAGAAGATAGCTTCAAACATTCCTGTTAGCAATGTTGCTCAGATTCACCTCCTGCCAGAATACTTTGAGTTAAGAAATGTTTCTGCATCGGAGTTTGCAGAGGCCAAACCTCTGTTGCTGGAAAGTTGGCCTGAAGCAGAACCCCAAGAGAACGTCAATCTGCTTCTTCATCAGCAGGAGATGAGTGAAAAAAGAAACATCACTAAAACCCTCACAGGATCATATCCAAATACTTCAGATAATACCAAAGTGATAATACAAAGTGATCCTTCTCTGATCTCCCCTGTAAAACAGAGTAGAACTAAAAGCAATAGAATGGACAAAGCAAAACAGCATTTAGGAGAGCCAAGCAAAAAGCAGCAAATCTTCAACACAACCCTGTACAGTTTGCCTGCTGACCTTTCTCTGGATAATCAGCTTGGTCCGGGGCAGGAAGGTGCATTTGATGCTGATGAGACATATCACATGGAAAACAGTTATGAAATTGGTATTGATAATTATGCTTATGACTATGAAGATTTTGACAAAATGTTTGAAATGGGAAGTGTCAGAGGTCCAAAGGGGGAAACTGGACCTCCTGTAAGTTATCTTTATTACTCTTTTTACTGAAATGCGGCAACACACATTTAGCAGGGGCTCTGAAAGGAACCTCACAAAGCATGCCAAAGCTGTGACTGCAACTTCTCCCAGCTATGCTGTACAAATGTTTGTCTGCCTTGAGTATGTCTCTTTCCCGCATGTAATTTTGGTGGAAGTGTTGTATGTTTTTGTTTACTGGCAGAATACAAAGACATTCAGGATATTTCATGTTCTGGTGACGTGGTAGGCAAACCAGACTTCTTTCAAATTTGAAATGAAGCTGGATGTTTGTAACTGCTAATTATGGAGACCGCTCACTTAATAAAATTCCAGGATAAATTCATACGGTACGCAAATTTAGACACTGATCCATGAAAAGAACAACCAGGCTGTTTGGAAGACTGACATAGTTTTCTCAGTTGAGCGATACTAGAAAAATTAATTGTAGAAAGAGACCAGTTGCAGGATCTAGACTGGTAAAACCATTTGGAAGCCAAGGTTACAGGGTCATGCAAATCTGCATGTAAAATGATTTTTAGAACAGTCTTACAAGATTTTGTGGCATTTTCTCCATTCACAGGGTAAGTGATCCCTGAAACAATTGCAAATGCACAATAGAGCTTTTAATAGGAACCCATTTGTCCTTTCTTATTGTACACACAAGACTCATAAACTTTTTAATGCATAAAAATGGGAGCAATATATGAGAAGGAAGAGAGAACAACAGCTCCTGCTTAGCCTGAGAAATATGATAGCGCATGTTTGAGTTATTGGCTAAAATTTTTTAAACTGTATCCTGCTGTACATAATCCCACTTGCTTGTCGCCTTTTTTGTCTGTGTGCATTTGTGTGGTTATTACTGCACAGTAATTTGATACATGTTAAGCAGCTTCTGATATATTTGAATGTGTCCATAAATTTATTGCATGCATTCTTTCAGCACCGAAATATTTTTTTCTTAAGGTAGTCCACAACTGATAAGCTATTTAAAAGTTCAGTTTTTACTCTAAACAGGATCTAGATGCAAAGGGATTGTTACACCATTGAAAAATGTGTTAACAAGTAAGTTATGTTAGTCCAGGAGTGCTCTTGTTTAATCTTTTTTGAATGTGGAGTCAGTCTTTTTTTCTTAAAATAGTATTTATGAAGTCGTCAACGTGAGGCTGATTTCTCTTTTTGGAGCATAGTATGTTTAGTAACTGCTAATGGAAGCTTTTAGTCCTAGCACATAGCTTGTACATAGTGATTTCAGTTGGTTATAGCCAAGAAAGTTAAAGCCATTCTTTTTCACCTGGCACAGAAATAGTTGCTGAAAATGCTGTGGGCTGTTTGCATTACTAAGAAACTCCAAGCAAATGCTCTTGAGGTTTTTTTGAAACACAGACACTATACATTCAGTGTCAAAGGTGATAGCTGATTTGGAGACTTCAGGGGTGTCTCTGTTACCATTTTCTATGCCTGCCTTACAGACTGGGGATGCAGGAGTTTCTCTTATATAGGAGGGCAGTTAAAGCAGACCCTGTATTTGATGTAGCCTGTAGCAATGGATATAGAGCAATTGTGCCAAAGTATTTTGTTAGGTCGGGTTGTAAATAATGTGCCCAAGGTCTTAGAGATCTGTGGCAGACCTGGAAAGTTAATCTAGACCTTTGTGGGCACTAATTTTGCTGAAGGGGCCAGCAGCACCCACTAGAACAGAGGCAAAGCTAAAGCATTGTGGTGCCAAAGAGGTTGATGCCAAAGGGAGAAGAGGCCTCTGTGTGGTCTCGCCCATACAAGCTTCTGTGAAGAATTGTGCTCCATGGGTTTTGCATGGCAGAGTACCTTCCACTGTTGTTGGCCTCACACTTGACAAAGCGATCTTGGTTTATTTTCTCAGTCTAGTATGCCAATGTAGCAAAGATCAGAGATAATCCAGCTTTTATATGTGTGGCTCTAACACTTCAATACCTAAGTACTCACAGAGCCTTAGCGTTGGGGAACATAAAAGGGCAACACTGAGGAACTCACAACTTCCCTTGCAGTAAAAAATCCTGACATGAAGCTCCGCCCCCCCCCCCCTTTTTTTTCTCATTATTTTGTGGTTGTTTTGAATCTTCTTTCAAAATTTCAACATAGACATAATGTTTGTTCTGTTGGAGTTGACAGGCAAGAACTGGCTTTTGTGATTCTTTAACTCCTCAGCTTCATTTTAGCTTTTAATCATCTACCAGCATTGATTCTTGCCGTGTGTTATTAAGTCTATTATATTCCACGATCCCACATCTGTGGAATCCACCACTGCAAAGCAGGGTTCTAGAATTCATCCTTTGTTTTATGGAGAGCATATGGAAAAGAGCTATTAAGACCCTGTTTAAAATTCTAGCAATTGCAGTGACAAAAATCCCCTCCAAAAATGTAAAGTGAGTTTCAAGTGCAACAGTGTGATCTCCTGAACTACTAGTTCAGAGAGAAGGCTGCTCCATCCATCTAATGAGCCACTCGTTTTTGTGTTGCAGAAGGTGTTGGTGCTGTATAAAAATAAAAACAAACAAACAAAAACAAACAAACAAACACAAAACAAAACAAAACTCTGGTGTGTATTTTGAACAGTTTAACTTCCACACTGATATTATTCATTGTAGAATCCTAAAGCAGTTTGCAGTAGTGTGATTCGTAGTCGCACACTGGTAGAAGAAGGTGTTGATGTGAGCTGCAGAGCTGATTTACGTTACTTGCTGGTAGGTAATTGCATCTGCAGGCCTGTCTGCACCAGATTTGGCTTCCCCTGAGAAATAAGATAGGAATTAGTTTCCACTATTGGAAGAACTTTCTGGATTATGAAGACACTCAGCCAGCAGGAGAAACAGTAGAAGACTAAAAGGTGGTGTTCTTCAGGCAGTCTATTTGGTAAGGAGAAACGGTCTGGAGATACTTCCAGGAGGAACTGGAAATGCAAGCCCTGTATTAGCCAGGATTAAGACCTGGATGGAATGCTCTTACTCCAGTCAGGAGGTGTGAAAGTGAGAACCCTGAGAAAGGTTGCTTCAGAGGTCCTAAACGTGATGATAAATTAACAGCAGTAAGAGTGGTGTCAGCTTCCCTTTCACACTTCAGCTTAATTCAGTCTTAGCTTACATCTCAGTTGAACAAAATTGCTTCCTGAGGCTCTTCCTGGCCACAGAGGATATAATGGGCAGTTAATTGCTTTCATGCATTTCAGCTCTGCATTTCCCTGTCAAGGCTGAGAAATCTCAGTATATACTGAGATAGATAAAAACTTAAAATTTTTGTTGTTTCATTTGTAGTAGCAAAAAGATAACATTTGTCTTAAATATTTAAACATTTAATTTAATTCACTTGAAACTGATGCAGTTTCCCTGGTTTTTTTGCACAACAATATTGAAAAGCTTTAATCCAGGACCCAAACCCATATATGTTCCTCTGATGTTGATGACATTGCTTTGGCTGTTGGGGAAATTCTTGACAGACAAAGGGAAAGACTATCACAGTTGTGAAGAAAGGAGGTTCATCATACACAAGTGATGACTTGCTCTGAGGCATTTAGAAAGAGAAGTGTGTGGTTTGTTTATCATTTCCAGTGAAATGCAAATGAAGCAAGAATTAAATAGAGATGGACATTTATATTTGGTAGGATCCTTGTTGCTCACAAATTAATGCATGAAATCATATGCTCTAAGAAAGTACATAAAGCACAGTAGGAGTAGGTAGAAGAATTCTGTGGCAGAATCAGAGTTCCAGATGGTCTAAAACCGATGGGATGAAACTTAGTGCAATAGTACAGAAATGTAAAGTACAAATAGAGGACGAGAATGACAGTGGCCAGCAGTTGGAGAGAGGTGATCCTGCCCCTCTACTCTGCCCTGGTGAGACCTCGCCGGGAGTCCTGTGTCCAGCTCTGGAGGCCCCAGCACAAGAAGGACGTGGACCTGTTGGAGCATGTCCAGAGGAGGGCCACAAAACTGATCAGAGGGCTGGAGCACCTCTCCTGTGAGGACAAGCTGTGAGGGAGTTGGGGTTGATCAGCCTGGAGAAGAGGAGGCTCCGGGGGGAACTTTATAACAACCTTCCAGTACCTGAAGGGGGCCTACAAAAAGCAGGGGAGGGACGGTTCACAAGGGCTTGTAGTGACAGGATGAGGGGTAATGGCTTTAAGCTAGAAAAGGGTAGATTCAGGTTAGATGTTAGGAAAAAGTTCTTCAGTATGAGGGTGACAGACCACTGGAATAGGTTGCCTAGACAAGTGGTGGAGGCCCCATCCCAGGGGAAATTCAAGATCAGGCTGGATGAAGCTTTGAGTAGCCTGATCTAGTTGGAGATGTCCCTGCTTATGGCAGGGGGGTTGGACTAGATGACCTTTGGAGGTCACTTCCAGCCCAGACGTTCTATGATTCTATAACTGGCTAGTTAGACAGATGAGAGTGACAGGGAGATGTTACAGTGCAATGGAGAGTAAATGCACCTTACCGCTCTGGTGCTTGATACATTACCAGGAGTGGTGAGTATCAAAGGTGGGCTATTTTTTCAACTGGTTTGGGTATGTTGAGCCTGCAGTTCAGAGAAGTGTCCTCAGTTTTGGATGATGAGCTTTGGAAAGGATGGTGACAGACTGGAAAGCTTGCAGAAGGTTGCAGTAATGGTGGCACAGTTATAGGAAATAGGATTCTGAGAAAAGGTTAAAACACAACTGTGCTTAGTAGTGAAAGTAATGAAAGTTTAGTAATGAAAGGGACAAATGTTACAGTTCTGCAAAGAGAGAGATTATAAAGATATTTTGTTGCTTCTTCACAGAAAGTGTGGCAAGATGGAGTAGGAGATTTAGATGGCACATAAGGAAAACAGCTATCAGAGTGACACCTGCACAGTAGAACAAGAGATGTTACCAGTGTTAGAAGTGGAATTTCCTTTTGTGGAGAGTTTTTTTGAAGAGATTTGGAACCTGATGTTTCTGTTTATTTCCCTGTTGTATTTCGGGTATTTTGGTGGTGATGTGCAAGAAAGGTTCATGTTTGGTTTTGTTGTGGTGCGTTTTTTTTGGTTTGGTTTGGTTTTCTGTTTGTTTGTTTGTTTTGTTTTGTTTTTTTTTTTCTGAAGGAACTCCTGCCTTAGGTATTTGGTGGATCAAGCATTAAAGCATTAAACTCATTTGTTTCTTTAATTTACTCTTCTTTAAAAAGTGAGTTGAGCTGAGGTTGAGTGGTTGGGGTGTAGTCAAATGCTTTTCAAAGAGAAACAAGCTTTGCAAGAGAAACTTCAGTGAACGTGGTTTAGGTATTGAATTGCAACAGGTTCAGCATATGCCTGTGCAGAGATTTTAACTAGTTAACACAGAATTTACTGCTGTGCATCTGAAATCTGAGGGGGTTGTAACATGTAAATGAAACGCTTCTTATTACCTCTGGTGTAGGGCAAGTTCACAGCTATCTGTAGAAGGGCTTCAGTGTTCTGGAAAGTGTCTGTGGAAGTTCAGCATTACATTCATCCCAATGACCATTTGAAAGGTAGTAAAAATTTCTGGAAGAGTAACATACACTTTTATAATTTCAGGATTACGCTGTAATTATTTGGAATTTAAGCTTGTCCCCTCGGTTGCTAAAGGAAATTTTTACGGTTCCTAAGGACAGTAAGTTGTGCCTTCCTTAAAGTACTTCCTTAAAGTACAAGTTTGGAGCAAACTGATCTTAATAAATTTTAAATTTGTATCAATAATATTGACATAAAGTCACTACTTTTTTTTGGTGGCTAAAATGTCAAATGCAAAAAAAAAACCCCAAACATTAACATGTTTAATTTCTGTTTCCAGTAGCTGGAAGGAAAGCTATTCAAACAAATGACTAATTCCTTGGTTTAAGAGAGATTAGCTTACTCTCAGATGTTGACGGCCATGGCTTACGTGGATATCTAAGAGGCATAAAGACATTCCTAGCTTGTATAAAACTAGTCATGCTGACTTGAAATTGTAGTTGCTTTCACAAGTTGAATAAGTTCGTAGGGTAGAATAGCCTCTTACAAGTAGTCAGAAAAGCATTTCTGAGGGATACTTAGTTTTGCTCTGCTAAATCTGCTGTCAGCAGAAATGTTGCTTTGAGCTGGAAGGAGGAGTCAGAGCTGGAGGTTGAGGAGTAACATAATCTGGTTAAAGAGAGTCCTTGTTAATACTTTAATCAGACCCCTGGATTGCTGGTGCTAATTGCTTCTTATTATTAACCAGAGACTTAATCTACTGTGGCTGACTTTGTTATAGAAAGCCTTTTTCATCTCTGGCTGCATGATTCAAAACATTTTGCTGCTTCTTTTAGGGGTTGCTCAGAGCTTGGTTGTTGATGACGTTTTTTTCTTTTTGTGGGTTTTTTTTTTTTTTTTCTATGAGAGATAATTATGAATTAGTGTAATCAAACTGAGGAGGGTTTGAGGATTTGTCTTTTTGCAAAGCAAGTAAGTACTTTTTAAAAGAAATCTGAAGTCAAATAGGGAATTCTCACTGCTCTCATTCAATAAATTTTCAGCAAAGATCATGGATCTTAATAAAATACTCATTAAGATTTCTTTTAGGAAAATGGTGAGGTTTGGCTATTTTTAAGGAACTGTCAGGGTGGGAGCTCTCTGCCCTTTCAGCTGTGTTTTTGGACTTGGACAAGGATGCCAGGTCAAAAGCTTTCCATGTGTCTGTCTGCTACATTTTTAAAAATTATTAAAAACAGGGTCTTTTTACTTTAGAAAAATAGGAGAACACTGGTGAACGTTTATGCAGTCAGAGTGAACAGCAAACCTCCTATGCTGAAAGTAAGACAGGTTACAGATTGACCTAAAGACCAGGACTCTTACACATATTTGTATTCTATATTACCTAGGGACAGAAGTGCAGGGTATGGGTTTCAGCATGGCATAATGCATAACTGCAAACAGGCAGTTGCACTACAAGTAGATTCCTAAGATTATTATGATTAATTGGAGAGGAAAATATTTTTTTTTTTCTTCCCCAGAAGATTGTTTTTCCCAGAATTGTGTGAAGTGGCCTGTATTTTGGCCAAATAAATGTAACTGGCTTGACGGTGCTAAAGTCTGCAGTCAGCATTGTCTTCTTTGCCAGTGACATTACCTTTCCAAAGAAAAAGAAATATCACTTCCATAAAAATGTAGGTTTTTAAAAATGCAACTTTTGTCTTAATAAAGTGACTTGCTGGCTTGCTAATAAAGCCCCAAAGAGTATTTATCGTTTCCCCTTCTCTCTTTCCCCCTACCCCTTTTCTGCAAAGCCTGTGAGTTGGCCCTTTCAGCCACCATAGCTGCCCTTCTGAATTCCTTGGTATTCTTGACAGCTTTCAGCAGTGTTGTTTAGTGATGAGCAGTACTATTCATTGTGAAGTAAAATTTTCTTCGAGAGGTCTGGCTTTCTTGATGCCCATCTTCCCTTGTGATGGGAGTACTTGGGTTACTGTTAGAGCTGGGACTTGCCATGTTGGTGTTAGTATGGCAACCAAATTAATTCTTAAGAATAGCCCGTGCTTCCATAGGACTCAAGTGTGGTAGATGAAATAGGATATAAATCAGAGCAAACTTTAGTGTAGTACTCTCAGTCATATTTGAGTACAGTGAAGTAGATCCTGGGGTTTTTAATGTGAACAGCAGTCACATAAAGAAAAGGAAAGTTTTCTATGGTCAAAACAACTAGATATACAGAGGGTGGTATGCTGCTGTCTAATAGTCTTACAGTGATTTGTCTAATTTATTTGCAAAAGATACGTCTGGTTATATACTAGCATTTAAAAAAAAACCCTGCATTTTCTTTAAAGAAAAATATATTCGCTATATACAAGGTCAAGCATACTACCAACTACTCTTATGAGAAGCTTTTAATAGGAAACTGAACAATCATTTGTCAATGTTTAGGTTCGTCTATTTCATGTCTGTCTTTTCTGTGAGATGGTATCTCAGTTACTCCTGACTCTTCTAAAATGTGTTTGGCATGCCAGCATGTTTATTAAAAGGCTTAATTATTCTTTCTTCTGAAATATACTCTACTTGCTTGTTTCTAATCCTTGAACCAATCTCTTCTTCCTTTAATATAAAACCACTTAAATTACTATCTAGATTATTAGCTCAAATTCTTATGACATAAGATACCTTCTAAACAGAAATCTCATTTAGAACCAGATTAAAAACACGTGCTTGTAGTTTGGGCATTGGTTTTCAAACTGAGAAGGTCTGAACAAGTAGAAAGTCATTGGATAGAAGAACTGGTCTGGTTCTGACTTGTGATACTGTCCTTGTATCAGGTTTTGGCCTCAGTTATTTTGATTTTCTATCACCAGGGTCCTCCAGGTCCTCCAGGTTTACCTGGTCCATCAGGAAAGAGAGGTCCTCGGGTGAGTAACACAGCTGTGTTCTTCTGTAGGTTTAGGCAAGCCACCAGTAATCAAACTGCAGTTTGCATAATTTTGTTTTTCTCAACTTTATTCCTGTGCTTGGTTATTATGAAAGTGTATAATTTTTAACATTTGACAGCTGTGTTAAAGTAAGGCGAAGCAAACAGGTTGGTGGGTTTTTTTTGCTACAAGCCTCCAGCATAGTTAATTCCATAAATGGGTGCGTACACAGAGCATTCTTACATTTGTACCTAGCTTTTGCTGCTTGCAGTATTAACTTTTAATTTTTCCATGCTGCTCCCATCTGCTGCCATCTAAGGTCATGTTAATTTGTTTTTGGACTGAGGAGGCGTGAGCAATGCATGCCATGGCCACAGAGGAGCAGGTGGTGGATACAAAATTAACCACTGCAAGACAGAAAGGGGAAAAAAAAAAAAAACCACTCCCCACAATCTTAGTCTCTTTTGTTATTCATCTTGATAAAAGGGGTGATAGATATCTGAGTAGTTTGCCCAAGAAATGAGCTAAAGTAGCACATGATTTGTTTTGTGTGATTTGGCACACCCCAGCATGAACAGGGCTGGTAGCCTTGCCAGCGGTCAGAGCAGAGGCTTTGCCACAGTGAGCAGAAACCTCTGCCCCAGCTGCCAAGAGCATGGGAGAAGCCTGTGCCACTGCAAGGACTAATTGATGGGACTAAAGAGGGCAAATCTGTGTTTGCACAAATATTTTGTTGTATACAAAAAAAAAAAAAAAAAAAAAAAAATGCTTGATGAATCCCTCAGGTCATGGTTGATTCTGGGGGAAAGGGCAGCTGGAGGGAGCAGTCGAGGATTTGTTGTGTGGATGATTTTGGGACATGTTTTTGTGGGATGTAAGTGGTTATGGCTGGAGTGCACTCATATGGGCAAATCACAAGTGGGAGATAAGGGAGTAGTTTATATGAAGGCTCAGCAGATGCGTGGGAGGAGTTTTGACTCAGCCTTTGAGGAACGTTTAAACAAGCTGCTGCTCAAGCATGTTGAACATCCTGTGCTTGTCTGACTGGGTAGAAAAGTGCACTGGTCAAAGGGTGCACTAGCCAAAAAAATGATGCTTTAGAACAGTTGGAGTCAAGGGAGCAGACAAGACACATTTAAAATATAAAATGAAAAGCATTCCCTCAAATCTGTATCTTCCCAACTTCTTGAATCCTTTTTTCAAATTATCCTTCTATGTAACAGCTGACAATTCCTACAACTCAACTTTTTATGTTGCATAGTGCCTCTGTCAAGGCTATGTCTGGTATCAGAGGCAAGATCCCACATACCCAAGTAGATACTCATGGTTGGGAAGTTATCTTTGGTTTAGAGGAGTCTGCCCATATGTTCAAAGCCATGCCTGCTGGTGAGATCTCCCTTGCTCAATTGTTGTTTTTGGTTTTTTTTTTTTTTTTTTTCTGCAGGTCTTTTTTTTTTTTTTTTTTTTTTAAGATATAGAATACTTAAGAGCACCATACTCTGCTATGTGAGTTTCCTAGATTAATTTTTGAGTAGGTCATGCGAAGAGATGGCTTACAGCAAGGTGCCTGTAAAAATATGTAAGAAGTCAAGATCAGTATTTGCCAGTAGTTCTGAGTTTAATATACATATTTATGTCGACCAAGAAACTCAAAAAACACATAAAACCCTGTTGATGCAAAGTTCATGTCCATATCTACCAGTCTGCTTTGTGACTTCTGTCTTCCTTCATGTGAGCTGTCATTTGTGATCCTGAAATATGACTCAGGGTGTTGGAGGGAAGCAGCACAGCATGGAACTACATTGCCTGGGCCTTCTTCAGGCTCTCCTGGGTGTTGGTCCAGGTCCTGACAGAGATTCACATGGGTTGGACACTTTGTGCATAGTATCAATACTTGATTAATGGTTAGACATTTCTAACCATAAAAACGGATTTTGATCTATGTAATTCTGGGGTGATGTCCACATCTGGCTGTTAAGTTTTTGCAAGTGTCCTGGCTTATTCTGAGGTTCTCCATAATGAAATTTCAACAATTTCAGAATTAGTCATTGGTGAGAAGAAATTCCTCTGATGCCTTTCAGTTTGTGTGGGTACTTTTGCACCTCTGTGTTGCAGTACTGTGCCCTAAGATGATAACACTGCAAGCAGCAAAAGCTAGGAGCCTCTTCAGTACTGCAGCTAGGTTGGCACTTGCTACTTGTTTCCTTTCTCCTAAATCCCTGAGAGCACCTCCAGAGTTGCCAGTGTGCAAATTAATCTCTCAAACAGCACAAGGGATTAGCATTTCTGTGGAGTTAGGTCGACACTGTCATTAGTGAGATGGAGCACTTGATATGGCTTTCAGTGTTACTGCAAGGCATAATCAGTAAATTCAGCCTTATGTGAGGGAAAAACAAACACTGAGTATATCTGTTGTTAGACCACCAAATATGAGAAAGCTGAAAAAGATTCTTATTATTTTGTGTATTTGGAATTAATAGTTTGGGTGGCATTTTTGCCTTAGAGAATTCAACAAAGACTTTGTTGCTGACTTACCAGGGATAGGTTTTTCACCAGTTTAGTCTTTCAGTGTTTGGAAGATGAATAGTTGTTGACAGTTATTGCAACAAGTATTTTCCCTAATGTGTAGTTTGTCAAGAAGTGAAGATTGCTGAGTATGTTGCAGGAACAGACACTCATCCTGGAAGGCATAGATAGTCCTGATTAGCCTGTTCTGTTCCTGGAATGCTCTAAGGCCAACTCTTCTAGTAACAAGCCCATTTTCCACACTGGCTGTAGGAGAATCCAGTTGGTGAAGGGTTTCTGTCTGTGATTTGTTTAGAGAAGGTGGAGTATGTTGCTTTGAGTCATCTTTGAAGTCAGTGTGAACTGATCCACTCGCCTGTCTTTACAATGTATGGCTTAGTACCTCAGAATCTGATCTTTCTGATTTTATCCCATCCCTCTAAGTTTTGTGGCTGGAGAGCAACATTGTAGTGACTGTGTACCAAATACCCATTAAGAATTACTTGGGAAGACAACAGAAACTGAGATTTTTAAAAGAAAGGGAAAGACTTAATTTCACTTTTAATTTTTAAGGAAGATGTATATATTTTATTTCCTGAGAATCCTTTGAAAGTCCCAACCAGTGCTTCTAAAAATAATAATGGTGCAATAAAATGATTCTCTGCAAACTGTTCACACTTGTTCAGTGTAGTGCTGAATAATTCCACTCCTTTTTTTTGTTCACTTTGTTTTTCTCCCTAGGGTATTCCAGGACCACATGGTAATCCAGGTTTGCCGGGATTGCCAGGCCCGAAGGTGAGTTAATTTATCCATGTTGCCATGTAAACATATTAACTTCTTAATGACTTTTTTGAATCTCCTGAAGTGCTTCCTGTAATAGAAGCAATTAGCCTTCTTTGTTTTACAGATGGAGACTGTTACTATAAACATATTTTAGTTAAATATTGAGCTTCAAATCCAAGCAAAAATAGCAATTAATTCAGGGGAAGAACCACTGTGTGTGTGCGGAGTGAAGACTTGGAAAATGTTACCCATGCAAGTAGTCTGTACTTCCTAAAACTGTACTTCCTAAAACAATTCCTGTAAATAAACTTGGTCTCTTTGATAAACTGGAATTTAAGAGAAAATAAACATTTAATTGCTGTAACTTTTTACATTGCCTTTGTTTTTGTTTGTGTTTGGTTTTTTTTAAAGGAAGAAAAATAGACTCATTCTCTAGAGGTTCCTCTTTTGTCAATGCCCAACTTTTGATATTTAAATATTCTACTATTTCAGTCATTATCACTTTATTAATATGCTAATTTAATTTTCTGAAGATTTATGGATGTGATATTTAAAAACAAAAGACAAAATACTAGACTGGGAGCACAAATTAAACCCTTCAAACCTGTGTAACATAGGCCCTTTAAATAGATTTGACAGATTTGTGCAGTTGCGGAATGCCTTCAACTCGTATTTGGTTTGAACAATTTGATAGATATGTTAGGAAAAAAACAGCAGCAATCATGATTTGTTTTGGTACGATTCCTAATGACAGGAATCTGACCTGTCATGACAGGTGTTAAACTGCTTCAGGACATAAAAAGAAATTTAATAAGCTTTCAGTGTCAAACACTTTAAAACCAAGTGACTTTATTTTGTGTGTGTGTGTGCTTTTGTTATTATCTACTTCTGTAGGAACAGTTAAACTCTGAGATTAAGAATTAATTTTTACCATATTTATGCTGTCTGTGTAAAGGAATGCACACTACATGTGTGTAGTGGAATACATCACTAGGAAAATAATTGTAACTGATTAGTCCTAGGATTTGTTTAATAATGTATTTTCCCCTCCACTGGATCTTAATTCTGATCAGTTCTGTGGATGTCTCCATGATTTTAAGAATAGAAGGGATTGTGTGTGTATGTACCTATTACATATGTAGTAGTAGCTGTTTAGTGATCTCTTTCATTTCTGTTAGACTGTAAAATATCCTTTCAGTACAAGTATCTTCTGAAACATTTTTCTTTAAATAATAATTAGCCAGGTGCTCACCGAGTTTTTGATTATGAATATCCAGTTGAGCCAGACTGTCTGTGTAAGCTGAAACGGAACACACTCATTTGATCTTGAAGCGTTGCAGACAAGTAACAACAATTTTATGTCAGTAAATTAATGCAGAAATTTTTTTTTCTGCCTTTGAGATGCATATGTTTTTTTTCCTCTTGTGCTTAAGCATCCTTTATGCACTCACTTTTGAAGCGTGGGACGTAATACACTTATAGTGTCCAGCCCTGAGCATGTGCTACCAGTTTGAACTGAGAGCTGATGTCCTGCCATTTAATTCCTGATAAACAGTATTTTTAAAGTAATTTAAAAGTATTCATGAGGTTTGGCTGTACTCCTGGCTTTCTAAAAAATGGGTTAGTTAAGAAAATCTGGTTTGTGGATTCTGGCACTGTTCTAATGACATGTAATGTTACATAGATTGAATAATGAAGTGCATTGTTTTATCCTCACATCTTGACCTATGGTGACAGGTTGATCCCCAACTGAGAGCCATGCATAAAAATGTCTGTTTGGTTTTTAAAGTAAAAATAATGAGGAATTAATTGTGCTTATAAGGGAAAGGAAAGATGATGGGTAAGTTTTTAACTAGCCGAGAGCTGATCACAGCTTTATTACAACTCTCACTATAATATGCCTGTGATGGAAAATGGAAGCAGAAGAGAGACTGGACTTGTTCAAGGAATATAGCTGTTTGCCTTCCAAAATGTAGATCAGCTGGAAAATATTCAGATAACTCCTGCTGTGCTGAAGAACTGTTTGCCGTGACTCGACACATCAATTTAACACAAAATATTAATTTTGCCATATTTCCAGTCTTTATTTAGTGTTCAGCAAGCTTAATTTCGCAAGTGGCCACACATGTACAAATCTGAAGTGCAGAGGGAAGGAAAACCCCTGGTCTGCAGTACTGTACGTAAGAGTGTGGAGCCCCGTAGCATGTGAAGTGACAGCCCTGTACGTTTCAGAGGTGAAACGGCTGCCCACCAGGAGCCTTCCTCTGCTGGTCTGGTACACCCCTCTGAGCACCCAGTGTTGCCCCTGACAGTGGGATTGTCCTGGCAGTCTTTCAACAGCTGTTTTTCCCAACTTTGGTTGTCTTATAATGAAGGTCATGTATCATCCTTAACCTAGCATAGCTGTGGGATAGCTTTAATAATAAAATTCATTTCCTTGGCTACATTGAATGTATTTTTGAGTGAGAAGGGTAGATCTTGATGCTTGTTAGTAGCAGTTGGTGTTACTCTCCAGATTTGAAATCAAAAGCACTGTTGCAGCCTGTGCCAGTTACGTGAACAGGTCAATTAAATGTTACTCTGTCTTTTGCAAGCAGCTTTTAGTACTAATTAGACCAAGGGGTTCCCCATTTCCTCCTCAATTACTGTATTTTTGGTTATGAGTGTGTGAATGCGGTTTCAGCCAATGCTCTGGGAACTGCTCAGTGTGAAGCAGTTCATCCAGGGCTGTCTCAGCAGGTGCCATTCGCTGCAGTGCATTTGACCCTGAGGGGTGTGGGTTTGTGGAGGCAGAGCTGTCTGTAGCCAACAGCTCTGTACGGCTCACTGCCAGGCCGAGCTGGCCCTGACCAGCTCATGGCATGCCCCAGGACAATGCCTGGTGCTTCATGTGGTGGTGGGCTCCAGCAGCAGGGTTTTGGAAAAGGAGATGGTGTGGCAGCGTCTTTTCCCCTCTCCGTGTCCTAGTCTTGCATGTGGACAGTAATTCCTGGCCAAGAGTGATAAGCTGTCTCATCTGCTAGGAAGTAATTTGTGACTGAGCAGAGGCTTTTGCTGCATGTTTGCAGTTTACCAGCCATGATGTCTGTGCTGTGTGGGGTATGTACTGAGCGTGAGGAAGCCTGGACACGTTTATCATCAATGCAGTAATAACAGCCCAACAATCTGGCACGGTGTTTGGGGAATAGGTGGTGGCCTGAAGTGGTGGAGACATGGGGAGAGCCTTTCAGTTGTGGTGTGTGCTGTGATCCTGCTCAGATTTACCAGTAACATCTGCTGACAAAAGTTTTATGACATTATGAAATTTGGAGAATGCAATCTCATTTTGATGTGAGCTCACACTATTACATTTGTTATAGCTCTTTATTGAAAAAGGTATGAGAAAAAAATAAGTCCTGTAATTGGAAGTGCATTTTATATGAATATTCCCACTCCTCTTGCTATAACGGTTGAAAATATTTCCAAATATACTTTTGAAAACTCTCTTCCCAGATGATATTAATGAGCTTGATTTCTTTGCAACAGGGCCCTAAAGGAGACCCAGGATTCTCTCCAGGACAAGCAAAACGTGGAGAAAAGGTAATACGTTATAATTATAGGAAAATGTTTTATCTGTCCGACTTTTTTATGAGGTCTTATTTAATACTTAGAAAAGCTGTAACAGCACACTGCTTTGTATTTATTATGACATTGGTATGTTTTGACAATTACATGAGACAGACCAGTGCAGATACAGGTCTTATAATCAACCAAAGACAAAAAATTGTATTTGAAGCTGAAACTTAAATTATATATTTGATTTCATTTATAAAAATAAAATTAAAAATTAAAATTAAAAGTACTTTTAGAACAATGAAACTGAATTGTGTTCACACCACCTTAAAAAGTGCAGACTCCAGTTTTCTTTAGTACCTTGCGTTGTTCCATAAAGTTATATAAGGCAGAATTTGGTGATGACAAGTGGACACGTTGTCGTATGTCGTGTTGTATTTAATCACTTTTTAACAGAGTCTTGATGCTAAGATTTGTCCTTTCTTTTCAGTGGCTTTTCTTGCTAGTTCCTCCTAAGCTCCTTTAGCCAAGCTAGTGGTTGCTCTTACTGCCCAAAATATTTGACTATAAGTATTTTAAATGGTTCTTCATAGAAGTTGTAGGCTTGAAGGCTTGCAATAATTAGTTTGTGAATCTGCTGACTATATACGGAACTTTAAAATCAGTGTGATGATATTAAAACTGTAATTGCGTGTTTGCATTATAACGTGTTAACCTACTTTGTATCTTTTAGAATATCTTGGGTTTAAGCTAAGTTTTATTAAGAGGGTTTGCCAGTAGTTTAGTTGTGGAACATTTGTGCTAAGTAGAAAACACAGTAGGAGTTGTGGAGCTCTCTCTGTAATGAAGCAAGCATTAGTAAATGCTTGCTAATCGCACCTCAGTACAGGAGAGTCATCGAGGTGCTGGATTGGTTCAGAGAAGGGCAACTAAGCTGGTGAAGGACCTAGAGTGTAAGTCTTAGGAGGAGCAGCTGAGGGAAGTGGGATTGTTTAGCCTGGAAAAAGAAGAGGCTCAAAAGAGACCTTATCACTCTCTACAGCTGCTTGAAAGGAGGTTGTAGAGAGGTGGGTGCTGATCTCTTTTTGCACATACCAAGTTATAGGACAAGAGGAGGTGGCCTCAAGTTGTGCTGGGGAAGTTTTGGTTCGATATTAGGAAAAACTTCTTCACTGGAAGGGTTATCAAGCACTGGAAGAGGCTGCCCAGGAAATTTGTTGAATCACCATCCCTGGATGTATTTGAAAGTCGGGTAGATATGGTGCTTAGGGACATGGTTTAGCAGTGGACTTGGTAGAGTTAGGTTAATGGTTGGACTTGATCATCTTAAAGGTGTTTTCTAACCTAAATGATTCTATGACTCTGTGAAATAACTATTGTTTACTAGCTGCTGATGTGTACATAACATTTTTTAACGCATACATTTTGTCCAAGCCTAAAACTCAGAAATGTATGTATTGGTTTTAAAAGGCTGCTGAGCAAAATTCAGAAATGTCTGTTAATGCAATGATAAGAAATTGAGCATCAGCTTTTGTAGAAATAGCAACATTATTTTAATCTAACCAATACAAACCAACCATAACGCTTTGATCAGATTGCTTTTGACAATCTGATCAAAGTATTATGAGCTATATGTGTCTACCTGCAAGTCGTGTTCTTTGGTGTGAGACCAAGGTGCTACAGAGCAGTCTAAAGCCCACCTACGTATGTGTATGACCTACATCTAAATACACACAGAATGCATCTATCATCCCAAAATATGGGGTTGATATGAATTTTTATAGTTCTCATTATTTTGGCTTCTGAGCTTTTCCCACAAGTCAAATTTGCTCACCCTAACTAATGGATTTGAATTTCCTCTCATGCTAACTCACTTCCAGGATATGTTCTTTGTCTCACTGAATTTGGATACTAATCTTGGAAGAGTAAGTCTCTTTGTTGTTCATCCTGAGCAAGGAAAAAAGAATGGGAACACGCTTTTCTCTGCCAGCATCTGCAAAAACCCTAAAGAAATTGCATCTTTTTCTAACTCCCTAGATTTGAGGTGCTCTAGTGCTCGTTCACATATACTGTCATGTAGTTGCAAAGTTTAAAGAACTTGAATGAGAATAGCCATATGCCACCATAACACTTTTGTCTGTATGCATCTTTCATGTTGCCTTTTACACAGATTAGTTTTTATGCCATGTTTTATGCAGCATGTACCATAATGGTGTCCCGATTCCTCAGAAAGTATTGTTGGTATAATGTTCACACAAACCATAAAAAGTCATATTTAAATATTTATGTTAATTTGAAGTGAAACCACTCCCTTCTGAGGGAAGGGCTACCTCAAGAGTTGTACAGCTTCCTCACTCCCATTTATGTTAGTTAAATGTTGTGAGTTTATGAACTAAGTCTGCTTCAGCCATAATGTGCCCATGCTGTATGATACAGGAGCATGCAGGTTGCACCAGCTGGTTGCAGGACCTGTTGCCTTTTCAATTTTCCTACTTCAAGAAGAAGAAATCTGCATCTGATTAAACAACAGTAGCTTTTCATAACTAATGTCCAAGAGGGCAGTGAAGATACAAAGTCCTACATTTTTATAGTCCTGTGTGAAGTTCCAATGAAACATGACGACTCTGGATTTTTTTTGTTGTACAGGGTGACCCAGGCCCCATAGGCTTTCCAGGACCACCTGGGATCAAAGGCCAAAAGGTAAGATTCTGTTTTCTTTTTTGTTTAACCTTCCCTGGCTCAAATCAGTGGCCATCACGTGGATATCTGGTGATTGGCAACATATGGCAACAGAAGGACTTTAAGTTTGCTGTTGGTAATGTGACTGTCTACTGTGTCTGGCTCTAGGGCCAATGGTGGAAAACCTTCCCCCAAGTGAGATCATTGCAACAGAATGTAAATCATAGCTGCTTAGGTTGATGTTCTTCAAAAGGCATGGCATGCCCCTGCTCGAATGGAATGGTGTTAGGATGATCGGCTTCCCAGTTGTCAGTGATAGTTTCTTTAAGTTCTTCTATATTGTGTATTTTGTGGTATGGAAAAAGCTTCACGAGATCATGTACTCAGTATTTCTGCACTGAATTATTTGCTTTTTATCCAAACTTGTGCCAGAATTGCTAAAATAGAACTCAGGTGGTATAAGTTCCAATTCTGAATGCTGCATAGTATGATTCTTCTTAATATGTGACGTCAGGTGCCACACCTGGCAGAAATGTATCCAAATAATGTCTGTCCTATGTATGTATACAGGCACAAATAAAGCAGATAGGTAGTTTTGGGACTGGTGACAAGCTGGTGAGGTGGCAAAAATCAGCAAAAAAGCTGAGAGATGAATACTATTAAACACGGTTCCTTGCAGAAGATAGTTTGGTGTTGCAAGTATAATAGAAAATCATGGAGAGCAGATATCACAGCAGAATTTTGGAGTAGTATGTGTAACACTAATGGCAACTGTAAAGTGTCCATCAAAAGGAGGGAATGAATTGTTAGAAAGGTAGGCCCTGGTATTTCTGTCCCTGATTTTTGACGTATAGGGAAGGAATATTAATTAAATCCTTTCCTGCTATTGAATCTAAAGAAAAACGGCATTGCAACAACATTTATACACAGAACATAGTAAAAGGGTGTCGAGAAAAGGAAGCTATCACTGAATTAGCACCAGGAGGAATGTGGAAATTTGTTTTGCCAAACATGTGGTCCACAGTTCTATGAACTGAGGAAATGTATAGCTGTGACAGGAATCTGCATCCCCTCTGCTGAGAGCTAACCTGTAAAAGCCTGGATGCTGATAGCTTTTGTCACTGCTGATGTTGGGCTACCTTGAGATTCCCCAAGTGGTGTTGTTTCTTTGTTTATCAGGTTTATAGTTTCGCTGCAAAAACCAAGTAGGTTTTGTCCTAAAAGGTTTCAAGATGGGAAGCAGCTGTCACTTGTTCTGGATTACAAGATGACATTTAGAGGCAAGGAAATTAAAATCTTATGGCCACCATGCTCTCTTCCTGCCACAAGAATTCATTCCTTATCTGAGGGTTAAAGATTCTGTGGAGAATCATGCTCACTTAATCAGTGGAATTTTTTTTCTGTTTCCATGTCATATACATCAGATGCTAACTAGAACCAGTTTAATATAACTTCTACCTGACTCAGAATGTAGAAACACCAGCTTTTGAACAGCACATCTGTAAATGGTTAAAAGTATTTCACACTTCATTTTTTTTCATTATAAGCACACAATGTATAGTATTTTCAATACTCGATCTTTCATTATTGCTTTTCAGTATATGCAAATAGGTAAACATGTTGTTAGCTCATTATCTCAGAAGTTATTTTCAAATTAATGTGCACACAAGTGAAGGAAACCAGCTGTAAGAAAAAACAGCAGAAAAATCGAGTACTTCCATTTTTATTTTGTACACCAGTACTATTGGGAATTGCTATAACATTGAGTCAATAACATATTTCTGATATTCTTTTGCATCCAGGTAAAAAGGGAGTTATAAAATCCTACATATGCATTAATGGTGTCCCAAACTCTATTTGATTTTGACAGTAGGCTTTTGTTGAATGAGTAGTTTCTAAACAGTGAGATATTTGATAGCAAAGAAAAACTCTTAGCTCTTCTAGATATTTTCAATATTGTAATACAAATCTATGTTCATTTCATGGCAATTACTGTTTTTTTCACATTGACTTTTGTCCATGTTTCCTGAAAGGCAAAGAAAAGTGAGGGTTTTTTCCTTATGGAATTTATTATCCATTTCCCACCAACTGGACTGGTGGCTTTGGAGGACTGAAGCAGAGGGTGGGCTGCAATGCCTGCTGACCTGGGCAGGATGGCCCCAGGCCAAGATGGCTGTGGTGGAGATGGTTTAACAACTTTTGTCATCAGAATTTGCCCGATTCTGAACTTCCTGTGCAATGTTATTTGGTGCTGATACAAAAACGTGTTGTGGAAGTTTGAGGCAAGTGTTCATACTGTTTTCTTTTTTTTTTTTTTTTTAGACAATAATGACTTTGAGAAGCCATATTCCATGTGCTTTTGGCTCTAATTTTTTCTGAATACCCAAGATAAGGTCAGGAGAGTTTCCTGGAAAAATTCATTTTACCCTCCCCAAGAAAGTTTGAAGCCTTGCAATAGAACAGCACTAGTAAACTACTGTTTTGAGTTAGAGCTGTAACATGATGTGTTTCTTTTTATAGAGCTAAGAATCTATGGGGTTTTTTTTAGTCAGATAGTAAAATGAATGTATGTTAATAATCAGGACTCTGGGAACAAGTTATTATGACTGACTATTTTTCATTATATGCCATGTATCAGAGTATGCGTCCTTGTGACTGCATATAAAATACGACATATTTCTCATGCCTGTAACACACTATAAAAAGCAAAGTTTTGCTTGGGGTAGAGCTCCATATTTGTGCTAGCATTGGAACAGAGAATCGTATGGTTATGAAGAGTTTAGTGGCTTGTTTCTCTCACGCATCTTTTGAAGTATCTGGAACTGTTTTGACAGGACCATCTTTAAATCGGTACTCAAAACTTCCCTTGTATCAGTCCAGAGACTGTCCCCAAAAAGGACCTACTTCACTGTACAGACAGGCAAGTACTTGCCTCTTCTAGCCAGGGTCCCGGGGGTTAGATTGTCAGCCAAAGGACAGTACTCCTGGACATTAACTTGCCTGGGATCATGACAGTCCATTAGGATGGCTGCAGTGCCTGTGTGGTTGCATGTACTTTATAATGACATTGGAAAAGATTTTTAAAAAGACAGGCTACATTTTTTGGGGGTAGCTTTATTCCTTGTCTAATATGTGTATAACAGTAAAATACAGGAATCTGTGTATATAAAATCCTGATAAAATTCACATAGTACAGTGTAATATGCTAAGATGTTGAAGGAAAAAACTTGGTTGCAACCTGAGAAGGGTTCTGTATTTCCTTTTGTCTTGACTTTTGCATCCTATAAACGGTAACACAGATAAATTTCAAAGCAGCACCTGTGGTGATGTCAATGTTAGGATACCAAACGTCTCAAATTGCTTCTCTGAGAAAGTGCATTTTTCCTTGAGCAGGAGGAAGCTTCAGCTTTCTGAGATAAATTCCTTTACTGAATTGGATGGAGAGAAGGTCCATCTTCTATATATACAGTTTGTTGGTTTTTTGGTTTTTTTTTTTTTTTTTCTAATTTAAATTATATTCCTATTCCTTAGGGCATTTACCCTAAGAGATGCTAGGTGAAATGTGTCTTAGCTTTGTTAATAAATAGCAGCAAACAAGACAGAATGGCGCTATGAGGAAAACAAACGAAACAACAAACAAAAAAACCCGAGACAACAAAAAACATTTGCCAATGCAGAAGTTTTTCAAAACTAGATGCCATGTGGTGACAACGTGGAGCTGATAAGTAAGCACATGGAAGTCTGTCTATATGCTAGTCTTACCCCATGCCCAGAAATACTTCTTTTCCAGACTTTTCAAAAACTAATATCTCCTTGTAACTTGATGGTTGTAGCCTTAGGTATAACACTGCACCTACTGACTTTTAGAGGTTACAGAAACTTCTTGGCTTTCTAGCAAGGTTACCAGTGTTATGCCAGATGTATTTTAATAACAAATGCATAGACATTTTAATAAAATGCAGTGGTCACCAGTAAGATGGGGAGACTTGGCTTGAACAGTCCTTGTTGTGAAACATCTACATTTCGCTATATACAGACTTCACTCAGTCTGGGTCCCACTGTGCTAGACATATGGTAGAAGTCAAGGCACTTAAAACTTGCTATGAAGTCTATTCTGAGTCGTATTGGTGGTAAAGATTTTTCTTTCACACAGAACAAAGTGTTCTTGCAACTTGCTGTGTTTTCTGTAATGTGCTTGAAGTCTGTATTGCTATAATTGGAAGCTTCAAACCCTTTTCTTCCACACTGAACTTTTAATTTGGAACATGAATCTTCATTAAAAATTGGGAGGTATTTAATTCTACAAATCTGTGCATGTGAACTTATATTCTTCTCATTTACTTTCATCTCAGCTCAGAGCAAACTAGGTTTTACTTACATGAGTATGTCTGAAAACATGAACCCAAGCTCATAAAAAAACTAAGAATTTTAAGAAGATTAGCTGTCATAGGAAAGGAAACCCCAATGTGAAAACTCTCTACTTGGAATAATATTCATTTTAGCATAGTTTAGCTTCATTTCCAACCAGTATTAAGTGAGTTAAAATTAACTAAGGCTCTGTTAACTCTGAATAAGAATATTGGCCTACTACTCTAAAGTATGAGTTCAGAGTGGTTTTCCTCTGGCAGAGGCAAGGTGCTGTTGTGTAGAAACATGCGCACCAGTAATCAATCCTCCTTCATCTCAGTTCCTTGTGCGCCTTTTTTGAGACTGTCCATGCAGGTGTTCATCATCTAAACTGACCCACTTTGAAACTAAACTGTGATAAACTTATATTTGAGTGTTTCTGTGTACAGCGACATTTGCTTTCCTTTTCTTGTTGTACTGAAATAATAAACTACTGAGATATCTCTTCTAGCAACACCTATTTAGTTGATCACATAAGCATAGAGAGGATGAAATTCTGAAATGAGCAAAATTAATTAAATACAGAGTAGGGACTGTAAAAAAACTAGAAGGCTTTCTGAGTCCCATTTTGAAAATTTGACAGATGAGTTACTGGCTTATGCTGGCATATTTAGTTCTGCATTAGTTATTCAATTAAAAATTTTGGTTTAGGCATGCATTAATATAGTAAATCATGGTATTTTATATTAACTGGTTTGTCCAAGATCAGCTCCTGGCTACCTGTATTATATATTTTTATTGGTTTTTTTTCCTTCCAACAGTAATGGAGACCCGCCTCCTTAGATTCAAGATAACATATATCAGTTATTTAGAGTTCAGCTACAGGAGAGGACTGAAGCCAGAATACATTATAATTGTGCAAATTGGTAATGCCATGTGTGATTAGCAAAATGAAAGGACACCTGCTGTGTTGGGTTTTGAGAAAATGAGGCCTTTAGGTTTCTCAGTGAGTACACCTCTTTTGGATCAATATTCCTCAGGCAAGCCTATGATAGCAAAGTTGCACATGTTCAAGCTTCATGGATCTCATTATCTTCTATGATATAAATTATCATCAAGCAAAATCATTCCGTTTTCTCATTTTGTATATGATGATATAATTAATTTCATGCAGAAATATTCTTGTGGTCATGCAGAAGCTTATCCAAAACTTTGGGATACCTGATCTGCTGAAATCAGCTGCAGAATTCTTTCTTATTACAGTGGGTTTTAAGTCTCTAGTGAATAATGAGTATCATCATGCCACAAGGCAGCCAGATGTTTGACATCAGCCAAGACACTCCCGCTACTCCGTCAATGTCTTTGAGGCCAATGTTATGATAGATTTCTATCCAAAATAGGGATTGTTTTGGTCTTTCTCTTTCAAGCTGCAGCTTTTGGAACTTCTGTATTCCCAGTACCTCTTGCAAGGGATGTGGAGACCAGACACTTGGCTTCTGCATCAATCATGCAACTGTTACAGACTCTCTTTTAGGCCAGCTTGTCTGAGTATGTTTAGCACAGCATAAAGACATCCAAGAAGAAGGTTGTCCTTTCAAATGTACTGATGTGCAGATGGCAGGTTCCAGCTCTATTTTTAATTATTCTTTTTTTCTTTAAGAGCTGAAATATTCATGAAATGTTCAATGCACAGGGAGTAAAGTTTGACAGTTCTGTGCATTCTAGCACTACAGGGAAGATATAAATTCCATAATATAAGGGCTGGAATTTTTTCTATGTTAATTTTAAAAAGAGGTGTCATGTGTCCTGGATGATCTGTCTTGAGAGTGTCCTAGAATAGTCTGGGATGTCCCTCTACTTATATACAGCCAATTGCCTTGTTCAGAAAAGTCATTGTGACAAAGATTTGGAATGGGGGAATGCACTGTACCAGATCAAATTCCTCAGCAATAACCGGTGACAGCATCTCATGTACTCATTTATCTAAAAGAGTACAAGTCTGGAACTGTCCTTAAGCATGCTGATATCTTGAAATTCTCTAAACTACCATGAAGGTTTCGTCCTCTCTCTGGCTCAGCTTTCATATGAGCTGCTGAAGGTAAACCACACTAATACTGCAGACAAACAAGTTCAGATAATGTTTGGGTTTTTTTTTTTTTGATAAAGGGAGGTGGGATTAGAGTAAAAAAATAGGTCCGGTTTTCTTGTTTGACTGTATCACATATCTGTTTCTCTATCTGCAGGGTCTTAAGGGTTATTTGGGACTGCGAGGGCTGCAGGGTGAGCAGGTAAGTGATGAAAGCACAGTACAATATACTCTACAAATGAACAATTGAAGATAGAAATGAAGAATGCATAATCCAATATAAGTGTTCAGTTTAAGTCATCAGTATAAATTACTGACTGCTTAAGGAAATACTTGACAGACCTTGACCAAACATTCAGATTATTTAGAGATCAGCATGGTAAAAAAAAAGAAAGGTATAGATTAAATGGAGAAGACCAGCTTGGGTTTTTTTCAACTACCACACTGGCTTGGCAAAGGCTGATGTAAAATTCTTTGAGACACAGTTCAAATTCTCTCAAAACATCTGCTGATTTAATGTGTTTTAAATGTCCTAGCATGTAGAAAATTAAATGGTTAGTTAATACTTTTTCTCACTTCCATGCCAGTTTAAGAAGCAATCTGTATGTAAATTTGAAAGACATCCAGTTGCTGGTGTGTCTTATTACCATTAACAAGGCCCCTGATGGCAGAATATGCAGAAGCATGAGTCTGCTTTGGATGATACTGAAAGGGAAATGGTGATGGTGACAGATGATAAACACCCAAAGGGAGATGAAAACTCATGAACATCATCTGTGACTTCAGTGAATTTTATACACAAATCTTAACTGAATGAGTTAAGTGATTTTTGTCCACAGGTATTTTTCTGTGATGACTGTAATTTAGCAGTGAGATAAAGAACCAGTGGGGGAAAAAAAGAGTCATTCTTAATATAAGGAGAAGAGCATCTCGATCTTTGAATAAGTTGCAAGTGAAAAGTAATCAGTCAGTTACCATGAAGGGGAAGAAGTGAGGTTTGCATTGAAAAGTAATTCTGCTTATTATTTATGCAATCAGGTGTGTCAGTTCTTTAGAATGCAACTCATAGTCAAGAGTGAAAACTGGTGATGTGCAACTGTTTGATATTTCAGTGTTCTTATACTGGTGCTGTAAATATTTTCCTTCATTATTATCACTTACAAAACCCTCTGACATAGCTTTTAAGAGAACACTTTAGAGGAAAGTTTTATTTTGCACGTAATTCTTACTGATGATATTTTCAGGGCTGGCTGGTGAAGGTGATGAGTTAGACCAGTTAATTGTCATCTGTAGCACCTACCTGTGTGTATAGGTCTTAGAAGCTTGTGCAGCAAAGACAGGCATTCTTCTGAATTTGTGAATGCTGGTAACAAAGGAAAAGATTTAAAAGATAAGTTGTAAATGGAATTATTCTACTGCTTTTATAGTTGGGTTTTTTTTCATATACTCATATTCTGAGGTACAGCTGAGCCAAAACAGGAGACCATGGATCCTAGTTCGATGACAAGAACATCTGTCAGAAGATTAATCACTGAAGGGTGAAAGCAGGTGTCAGAATCCTCTCAATGGCAGCTCATCTAAACAAAAAATACTGCAATCACTTTTTGCATCTGCATGTCTTATTCTGCTGCCTAAGACTGCTGTTTCATCATAAATCACTTGTGAACATCTCAGAGAGGGGTCCTGGGCCCTTGCTCTGGTACACTGACATATGAGTGGGTGGAAGGGTCAGGCTGGGAGCATGTCCAATTTATAGACTTTTCTTGTTTAAAATGAGGTAGTTGAAGCTTCTTATGTCCCAGTGATGGGCCCATGGCATTTGGCACATCTCAGAAAAGTGTGGGTTTTTTCTGAAACTGAACAGTCCATGCGTAGATGTTAAGTAATAAAACAACAAAAATTACTTTTGAATTTGATGAGGAGGAAGAAGATGGAGACAAGTTCTATGCATTCATGACTAATTCAATGCTATATTGATCTGATTCTAGAAGAACAACACAAAAAGACCTTGTAAGGTCAGAAGGATGGTTCTTTAAAACATTTAACACAATTGCTAAAATACACCTAGGATGAGTGCAGTTACTTCATTATAACGACTTGTCATCTACAGTTCTCCTCAATTACTTTTTACAAACAGCATCTATGTTTTTATTATAGAATTAAGGGATGCACCATTTTATTTCACAAAACCTTATACTACTCTTCTTTTAGTCCTTTTTAAAGGATACATAACTGAAATTGATCGAGTTAGATATGATGAGTAAATTTTATGGTATGGTTGTATAGCTTGGTGTTTTGCCAATTACCAGGCCCAACAAAAATGATACCACCAGCAGGGAGATGAACCAATATGCAGACTGTATTGTAGACAGAAATGTTACTATATGAATGACCGCCGGGGGTACAAACAAGTCAACAAGCTCGTACATGATCGACGCCACCCCCAACGATCCCACAAACAACATGACCCGGCCCACAACAGGTGGTACAAACAGTGAACCGAGGAAGCCCATAGTTGGCATGGTAAACAGCCAGACCAGCAAGCTGAACACATGAGAAAAAGGTGCCCACGTGGCAACTCTCACCCGATCGACCCGCGTTCGCAGAGGCCTAAGTAGACCAGGGCCCAGCTCCAGGGAGAGTCAGGAGGTCTGCCCTGAACCAGGAAGCTCTGTGGAGTGCACTCCACAGACAGACACTCCTGACTCCCTGCCAGTGGGCCCAGCTTTTCTC